ATATAGTATCATGTCATCTGCAAAGAGTGACAGTTTAACTTTTTCCTTACCAATTTGGATGCCTTTTATCTCTTTATCTTGTCTGATTTCCATGGCCAGGACTTGCTGTACTATGTTGAATAAAAGTGGTGAGAGTGGATTTCCATGGTGGTGTCAGTTGTAACTATTCCTTTCTGATCTTAGAGGAAAGGGTTTCAGCTTTCCACCATTAGCTGTGGGTTTTTCACCTATGATCTTCATTATGTTGAGCTTTGTACCTTCTATACCCATTTTGTTGAGAGTTTTTATCATGAATGGATGTTGAATTTTGTCAAATGCTTTTTCAACATCTGTTGACATGATTATATGGTTTTTATCCTTCTTTTTGTTAATGTTGTGTATGACATTGATTGATTTACAAATATTGTACCATCTTTGTATCCCTGGAATAAATACCACTTGGTCATGATGGATGATCCTTTTGATGTATTTTTTAATTTGGTTTGCTAATATTTTGTTGACAATTTTTACATCTATGTTCACCAAAGATATTGGTCTAAAATTTTCTTTTTTTGTAGTATCTTTGCCTGATTTTGGTATTAGAGTGATGTTGGCCTCACAGAATGTGTTTGGAAGTATTCTCTCCTCTTCTACATTTTGGAATACGTTAAGAAGGACGGGTATTAGCTCTTCTTTAAATGTTCGGTAGAATTCAGCTGTGAAGCCATTTGGACCTGGAATTTTGTTTGTTGGAAGTTTTGATTATCAATTTCATTATTGGTAATTGGTCTGTTCAGATTTTCTACTTCTTCCTGGGTCAGTCTTGGAAAGTTGTACATTTATATGGAATTTGTCCATTTCTTCTAAGTTGTCTAATTTATTAGCATATAATTTTCATAGAATTCTCTAAAAATTCTTTGTATTTTTGTGGTGTCAGTTGTAACTATTCCTTTTGTTCCTAATCTTTTTTATTTGTGTCCTCTTTTCTTAGTAAGTCTGGTTAGGGGTTTATCTATTTTGTTTGTCTTCTCAGAGAACCAACTCTTGGTTTTATTGATTTTTTCTGTTGTTTTATTCTTCCCTATTTTATTTATTTCTGCTCTTATTTTTATTATGTCCTTCCTTCTACTGTCTTTGTTGCTTCATTTGTTCTTTCTTTTCTAGTTTGTTTAGTTGTGAGTTTAAACTATTTGGGATTGTTCTTATTTCTTGAGGCAGGCCTGTATTGCTGTGTACTTCCCTATAGAACCACTTTTGTGGTGTCCCACATATTTTGAGCTGTTGTACTTTTGTTTTCATTTGTCTCTATGTGTTGCTTGATGTCTGTTTTAATTTGTTCATTTGCCCAATGATTATTTAGAAGCATGTTATTTAGCGTTTATGCATTTGTGGGTTTCTGTTTTCTTTGTGTCATTTATTTCCAGTTTCATATCATTGTGATCTGAAATGATATGTGCTACAATTTCAATCTTTTTTAATTTATTGAGGCTCTTTGTGTCCTAATATGTGTTCTATTCTGGAGAATGTTCCATGTGCACTTGAGAAAAAGGTATCCTGCTGCTTTTGGGTGGAATGTTCTGTATATATCTGTTAAGTCTTTCTGATCTAGTGTGTTGTTCAGTGCCTATTTCCTTAATTTTCTGCCTAGTTGATCTGTCCATTGTTGTAAGTGTTGTGATAAAGTCCCCTAATATGATTGAGTTGCACTCTTGTTTCTCCCTTTAGTTCTGTTAGTATTTGTTTTATATATTTAGCTCCTATGTTGGGTGCATAGATATTTATAATTGTTATATCCACTTGTTCGACTGACCCCTTTGTCGTTATGTAATGTCCCTTTTTGTCTCTTGTTACCTTCTTTGTTTTGAAGTTTATTTTGTCTGATGTAAGTACTGCTAGTTCTGCTTTTTTCTCCCTATTTTTTACATGAAATAACTTATTCCATCCCTTCACTTTGTTTAAGTATGTCTTTAGGTCTGAAATGAGTCTCTTGTAGACCGCAAATAGATGGGTCTTATTTCTTTACCCATTCTACCACTCTGTGTCTTTTGATTGGCATTTGATTTACATTTAAGATAGTTATGGATAGGTCTGTGCTTATTGCCATTTTATTAATTGTTTTCTGTTTTTTTTATAGTTCCTCTCTGTTACTTTCTTCCTCTCTTGTTATTTGATAGTTTTCTTTAGTGCTATGAATGGATTTATTTAAAAAAAATTTTTTGTATATCTATTATAGGCTTTTGGCTTGTGGTTACCAAAAGGTTCATAGATAGTTTCTTAAATATATAACAATCTATATTAAATTGATGGTTGCTCTATTTCTAATGGGCTCTAAAAGTATTTCTTTTTCATTCTTCCTCCTCCCTCACACTTAATGTATTAGATGTCAAAATCTGCATTTTTTGGGTATCCCTTGACTGATTTTTGTGTAGCTGGTTTCACTACTTTGGGGTTTTTTTTTCTAATTTTTTTTAACTTCATACTTGCTTAGTTAGTAATTGGCCTACTACCTTTACTGTGAGTTCATTTTCACTGATGAAAATATCTAGGCTTGAGAACATTTCCATCTACAGAAGTCCATTTAACATATCTTGTAAGGCTAGTTTAGTGGTGGTAAATTCTTTTAACTTCCGTTTATCTAGGACATTTTAATTTCCCCTTCAATTCTGAATGATAACCTTACTGGATAGAAGATGCTTGGTTGAAGATCCTTCTGTTTCAATATATTATATATTTCATGTCACTCCCCTCTGGTCTGTAAAGTTTCTGCTGAGAAAGCTGCCCTACTTACAAGATTTCCCTTGTAAGTAATTTTTTGTTCTCTCTACTGCTTTCAGTACCCTCTCTTTATCCTTAATATTTGTCATTTTAGTTATTATATGTCTTTCTAGGGTTCCTTTTTTTATATTAGGGGCTTTCTGCACTTCTAGGAACTGGGTGTCTATTTCTTTCCCCAGATTGGGGAATTTTTCAGCAATTATTTCTTCAAAGAGACTTTCTACTCCTTTGTCTCTTTTCTCTTTCTGGTACCCCTATTATGCAAATATTGTTTCATTTGGATTGGTCACACAAGTTCTCTTAGCATCCTCTCATTTCTAGAGATTCTTTTTTCTTTCTGTTCTCCAGCTTCATTCTTTTCCTGTTCTCTAATTTCCTTCTCACTGATTGTCTCTTCTACTTGCAGCAATGTATTGTTCATTCCCTCCATTGTGTTTTTCATTTCAGTTACCATGTCCTTCAGCTCTGAGTGGCTCTTTTTCCACTCTTCTATCTCTTTGTTGAAGTCATCCCGGAGATTGTCAGTACTTTTCCACAGATCAGTGAGTTTATTTATGACTGTTATTTTGAAATCTTTATCAAGAAGATTGGTGATCTCCATTTCATTTGACCTTCTTTCTGGTGTCTTATCCTGTTCTTTTGTATAGAACCTATTCCTCTACCTCCTCATTTTGTCAGGGTTTCTGTGTTTCTTCCTTTGTATTACATAGATCTGCTATGCTTCCTGGTCTGGAGAGTAATGGCTTTTTACAGAAGGTGTTCTGTGGTGCCTAGAAGCTCAACTCTTTGCTCACCTATGCCTTGTTCTCCTTTGCAGTGGAGCTGCAGTTGCTGTTGGTGGGCTGTGGACTGCCCGCCTTTCTGTCTACTGGCAGTAGCTGATCTGTTAGCAGAGGCCCTTTGTGGGCCTTCCAGCTGTGCTTCTTCTGGGATCATTGTGGATGGGGCTACCCTCTGCCTGCCTGGCAGCGATGGCAGCACTGCTGGGCCAGCAGAGTGGGTGGGGTGGGTACCAAGGGGAGCATAAGAGTGGAACTGGGCTGCCAACAAGGAGGAAGGAGCATTTGAGCTGGCTCCCACAGGCACCCCCTAGTTGGGCTGAGAGAGGGCCAGGAAAGCTTGGAAAGCTTCCCTCTGCCTGCCAATCAGCAAAGTCTGACCACTGCTGGGTGGAGCAGGTAGGGTGGGCCCACACGCAGGGAAGCTCCTTGAGGCTAAGATGCCAGTGAGGGAGATGGAGCATTTGGGACTGGCTCCTGCAAGCATTGAGCAGTTGGGCTGAGGGAGTGCTGGAGAAGTGCTGTCCACCTGCCCTTTCTCCTGCAGAGAGAGCTCCCTCTGACTTCCACCCACACTTCCCACTGCTGGTGAACCTTTCCAACTGCCACCTCTGTGTTGGGTCTCAGCAGGACCAACAGAGCATGACTGTCCTTCACACGTGGCAGGAGTCTCAGCCTCCCAGAGTGCTCCAACTCTCCCTGGTGTCCAGCCCTACTAATCACCAAAGCCCAGTGTAATGTGGACTTGTTTTCCACAGCAGATCTCCAGGGCCAGGTGTGCAGAGTTCCTAAGAGCTTATCCTCTCTCCTCTCCATTCCTCTCCCTCCTGCTTGAGGCTGGAATCAGGGAAGGGCTTGGGTCCCCCTCCATCACAGCTCTACTACTTTACCATTCTCTGTGTGGTCTTCTTCCCCAGGTATAGATGGTCTGTTATTCAGTCTTCAGGTCTTTTTCAGGCTTATTTGTATTTGCTGTAGTTACTTCCTTGGTGTGTATGTGGGAGGATGTTTCCACCTTGCCATTTCACTCCATCTTTTTCACAGTCTCCCCATAAATATTTAAATTTTGTGTGTGTGTGTGTGTGTGTATATGTATCCATCTGTCTATATATGTAATAAATTAAGATGCTTACATTTGTTACACATATATATGTGTCTATGTATATATTATATACACATACATATACATAGTAAATATGTCTAACAAATGTAAGCATCTAAATTTATTATATACATAGAGAAATAGATAGGTAGATTTGTTTATGGAAAAAAATCATGACAAAACAACCACAAAATATGAGAGCCCATTTATGATGAAATACTAGCTATTTATAAGATTCTGTGGCAGTATTTTGCTTTGGAAATAAAACAGTATAATTAGCCTGGTATAAGTATAATCTGCTGCTTGTGGTTTTTGTCAAGCTGCATGCAACTCTTTGGATTTAATGACTTTTTTTTTTCCTGTAGGATCCATGCCCTCTTTGTGATGAAGCCAAGGAAGTACTGGAACCTTATAAAAACAGGGTAATACAGGTTTCCTCCACTCTCCAAGAGTGGAGCAGTCCCCATGAAAGCTTTCATGCATAAAGGGCAGAAGTAATTACCATTAATTTATTTGGAATTTTTTCTTGAGTGTTCCCAGATCCAAAAAATAACCTACCTCTCTTGGGCATTTCTGGTACCTTAGGACACATTTTGCTAACAGATGCACAAAATAAATAGATACAAAGCATAGATGCTCAGACAGTTTAAATCTATGGGTGGCTTGATAACTCAGATAGTATAGTTCCCAGGGAAAGAGCTCAGCTGTGCCACTCTTGCTGGTCATGGTACACACTTGCCTCACTAATGGCTTGTTGCAAAACAGGCTGAACACTATTTTCACTTTTCACCATTTTTTATAAAATTTAAAATCATCTTTGGAGTCCTTCTGGTTAGCAAAAACAAGTACTAATGTAGGTCTTTTGTAAAAGGTGAAGTGGTGTAACAAGAACTTTTGAAAAGCAGAGGATACCTGTAGAATACAGTGGGACTTTAGGATATGGAGTGGATAGTGTATGGGGTATAAAGTATCTGCCTGGTTCCTTTCTTTAGGAAAAGAGATTAAATGATTTTCATTAAAAGTCACTTTCTATTCTTCAGAGAGAGATTTTTAGAGCTAATTTCCATAAAACTCATTACTTCTAAGTGTTTTTCTCTGAGCAGTACTGGTTTTCTTACTCTGACTCTTAATATGGATCAAAGTTAACTAGCAGGTATAGTATTCATGCTTTCTTTAAACTTTTGTCCCCATCCCTTTTATCTTATTTTGTCATTTCCATGGAAATGTTTTCCTGTAGCAAACCATGACACCTTTCCCATTCTTAGAACCAAAACAGGTCTGTCCTGATTCTCAGGCAGCTTCCCAATTGGAAAATATTTTATTTCATTGAGAACTGAGCAGTACTGGATGCTGAATATAACATAAGGTATAACAGAAAGTAGCAAAATTGGGAGTTAGGGAATATACTGAAATCAAGTTGTGGAAATCGGGACATTAGATCATTTTGGATTTCAAACAAATAACAACAAAAACCTCTGCATTAGAACTAGTCTGGGGATCAGTTTGTCACTGCAGTTGTTCCCATGTTCTCTAAAATGTAGGGCTTTAGTCTATCTCCATTTCAGTTTATTTTACAGGAGGTGGACATCACACTTCCAGAAAACACTGCGTGGTATGAAAGGTATAAATTTGACATCCCTGTTTTTCATCTAAATGGCCAGTTTCTGATGATGCATCGTGTAAACATCTCAAAACTTGAAAGCCACCTCCAGAAACTTGAGCAGCAAGGTGCTGAAGGTTGACGAACACCTTTGTGAATGCCCTCCTCGTTCAGAAGGCATCTTTCTGAGGAAACGACCACAGCCTCATACTCCTTTTGTCACTTCACCTCAGCCCTAACAATGTTCTGAACTCCATGTGCCAAATAAATGATAATCCTTTTGATTGATGGAAGTACCAATGTGGGGACTGTTCACCTATTGGCATTTTATAAAATAAGAAGAGTATATTGGCAAGGAGGGGATGATGTAGAGGGGAGAGATCCATTTGTTTTATTTATTTTTCCCTTTTGTATTAAAGTGGAAGCATTTCACATTCACTGGACAGTGCTGTTTATAGGAGGAAGGCTCTGCATCCGTGCTGCTGCCCTAAGGGCTTAATTTTTTAATGAGAGAATAAATGCTCTTCCACTCAGTATATAAAATGAAATGTGAATTGTTAATAACTGTGCACAGTCAATAAAGGGATGTTTTAACAAATACATCTGCATGAAGCCTATTTCAGTGGGATTTAATAATACCTGTTTAAAACCAGAGTTCTTTTTGGGGGGGTAAAAGAGAATAATTATCCTAGTCAGAAAGGCTTCATTTGAGAAAAAACAAAAGAAAGACATAAACCCCCAAAATGTATATAAGAATCTCAACATGATTTACACATAGATAGTGAATTGATTTGTAATATTTGAGGACTGCCTTTGATAGTTACTCAATTATCATCAATTGAGTTAATTCAACTTTTAAAACAGTTTTATAAGGTTTTGATATCTTAGGGAAAATTCAGTTCTCACCATAACTGGATGGATATATCAGATATATAGATAAAATAATTCTTCACCATTTTACATAAAGTATTTAAAATGTAGTTGTGTACCCTTATTTATATTTAGTCAGGTTCAACCAATATAACAACAGATTCATTTAAAAATAAAACTGTCTTTTCCTCTGAAAATCATATTGCAATTTCATCTATGAAATTCTTTTGTGAACTATTTTAATGAATTTGGATACTCTAAGTCACTTTGCTAGATTCTAATTTGAGTAGGATGATTCAGTCTTAGAAATAATAGAATATGATAGCTGACCAACCTTATACATTGTGTAGTCCCACCCTGTCATTTTATGCACAAAGAAGAATATGACATTTTAAGGGTTTCAGAGACTTAGCCTAGGGTCACACAGCCAATCAGCTGTCAGACCAGGTCTTGCCACTCACTCCAAATTTCCAGTACTACCTGGGTTCACCATAGCAGTCTCATTGTGTTACCTCACATACAGCATCCTCAACAATTCTAGATCCAACATAAATATGAAGCCTTCCAAAGTGACAGAAAAAAAAATCTTACAGTTAAATTGCAGTGGTTATAATTTACAAATTTCTGGAACACATCTTACTTGATATTATAAATATTGTCTGAGCCCTGTAGTAAGCAAAATTGTAGGATGACCCCAGTGAACCCTCACCCTTGTGTAATGCCCTCCCTTTTGAGTATGGGTGGAACCCATGAATATGATTAAATATCACAACTGTGATTATTATTGTGGGTGAGACTGATCTAATCAGGCAAGCCCTTTAAAAGTAGAGAATTCTCTCTGGCTGGTTGCAGAAGAGGAAATCAGAAGGACGTGCTACAGCTAGCCTAGAAGGGAGCAACCGTCAATGTTGTAGAACTGCATAGTGTGGCCACATGGCAAGAAACTATGGGCAGCCTCGAGGAGCTAAGAGTAGTTCTTGGACAACAGTTGGGAGGAAAATGCGGACCTCAGTCCTACAGCTTCAGGAAGTGAATTCTGTCAACAGTCGAGCCTAGAAGAGGATCTTGAGCCTGAGATGGAGACTATAGCCCTAGCTAACACCTTGATTGCCCAGGATGGCATCAGCTCAGTGAGACTAATCAGAGAATCCAGCCACACCATGCCTAGACTTCTGATATATAGAAACTATGAGATAATAGATACATGTTTCAAACTGCTAAGTTTGTGGTAATTTGTTATACAGCAGTAGGAATCTAATAGAAGTCCCTACAACACTGAAGCATCATGGTAGATGGTGGGAGCACAAGAATAAATAAAGCACAGTCCTTTCTTAGATACTCACTGTCTATACTACAGCAGAGTGCAGTAAGCTGAAACGTAGACATGTATAAAAAGCAGCTACATGGGGAAAGTAGCAAGAAGGCTTCACAGAAACTTAGACTTAAACTAAGTTTTGATAGTTGAATAGAAGCAATGGGGGTGGAGTGGTAGGGAGGTTAGAGAATGAGGATGATATTCCATCCTGAAGGAACAAAATGTGAAATAAGAGTGTGGAAGGACATAGTATATTTAGAAAATAGCAGGTAGTTGTGTGTAGTGGAGTGAGGAAGAAGAGTGAAGGTGGTGTGACCGGCAGGAAAGACTGGCGTCCACACCATGAAGAACCTCAGGTAATGTGATCTTTTCCTTGTGGCAGTGTCCTCCCTTGCTTCCTGCCCTTCTGGCTCCTGACTCCTCAGGAGAGTCTGGCCACTCTTCCTGCCCTCCTGAGGCCTTCTAGCCCTCAAGCATGATAAGCTCAATAGTCCTTCTCTCTAATAATCCTGCAGGACATTCACACATCAAAACAAGCAGGGAAGAGGGGACCATAGCCATGATTGCCTGCTTGTGCCTGCGCATCCTGGTCCTTTCTCCCTGCTCCAAGTAGTGTGACAGTCATGGGTCCCCGTGTTCAGGGTTGCCGAGCCTTCTACTGGGCCACCAGCTGGAAAAGTTCAAAGAATTTCATTCTGCTCACCTAAGAGGGAAAGAATCCAAGGGCTGGCCAGAGAACTCATGGGGCTGGTTCTTTCAGATCCCTTCCTGCCTGAGTGTAATCACATGGTTAGGGGTATTTAAGAAGTACAGTCAACCAAACAACAAATTTCTGACATTAGCATTTCAAACAAGTAAATAAAAACCCATAGATATGCACAGTGTGTTAAAGTGCTCACTAAAGCTCCCAAGAAACAAAGGTGTTCCAACCAAATAAAACACTAGATCACTTAAGGACTGTTGGAGATTGGGGATAAAGGATATTTGGAGGATATTTTTTAAAGAAAGGTGTGCTCTCATTTTCCACTGAAGTAAAACGTTGAGAGTCACCTAATGTCAAGAGGAAGAGACCTAAGTGGGACTCATCAGAAAGCCTAATGTGTGTCCCATGGTAGAAGAACACAGTGGACTAACTCCCTCCTGGGAAAGCACGTGAGAGCTGGGCCAGCAACCTGCTTCTGCAGCAGAGTGAAGGAGAGTTGCTGTTGCTCCAAGTTCATCCAGGGGAAGAATGTGTGTGTTTTCTTCACTAATCAGATACTGGCCATATGTTAGAGAGGCCTGACTTCGGGGCTCCTTAGGTGCAGGCAGGCCTCAGGAGAGAAGCAGAGGGAGAGCACTGGTTCCCTGGGGCTGAGGAAGCTGGCAGCTGCTCAGATGGAAAGCACATTTGCCTGAATCAGGGAACTGCAGATGAGACATAACAGCTATGAGAGAAATCTCCCAAGAACCCACAAAAGCCTCTGTGAAATGTGGCCTGTTCTAAATGTCAACCAGCCCTGAAAGCTGGAGGCCATCACCCCAACTTCATCACCCAAGTGACAACACACGTGCCCCTCCCCACGTCCCCTGCCTTCCCCCATCCCAACCATAGAGGGATCAGAGGCTGCCAGGAGCAAGGGAAGAAAAACCTTCCCCTTCTACAGCTTCCCACCTGCACATGGCTTCTCACTGGGCTATAAGCAAGACTCAACTTTAAATTGTTTACACACTATTTAAAGTGACCAGAGGACTTTCTGTTGCTTAAGAATGCCAGAAGTCCTGAGTAAGAAATTCCCCACTGAATACATTATATAGAGAGAGTGGGAGACATAAATAAAGATGCTGATGGATTCCACAATCAGAGTTTTGATTACATATGCCTCATGCTGTTTTATATCTATAAAAGTTCAATAAATGTATTTATTAATTCTTGTGACTAAGATACCTAGAGATAGTTAGCAATCCCTCTGGTCTGGCAGTTGGCAAATTGAAAGGCAGATATCTAGAAACATGACATCTAAAAGGCGATTTGATGATCCCACTGTTGATAGGTATCAGACAATATTATGTCATTTATTATAGTCATTTTCATACTTTTCCTTTCTGAAATGATGTGTGCAGGGATCCATTTGTTTTTATATAAAGATTAATTTTTACACAATTTAAAACATACATCATATCTTCCTCCTCCCATAGGAAACAGTGACAGAACTGTCTCTTTTTTCCCGAAGCTAATGATTTTAAAGGAGCAGAGCAAATATTGAGTTTGGGATGGCATATTGCTCCTCTTAGTTATAATGCTGCTCTTCTTCCAGATGTCTCATCATAATGCTAAAAGGGCTTACCAGAGCACATATCTCTTTGGCCAATTTATTGCAGAAATGGGTTCACTCAGGCTAGGGTTGTTTTGTTGGCTTATAATAATGCAGCAGCTCATGGAGATCTCACAATAGGAATCACAGTGGGGCCAGGCCTCAGAGGGTATTCTTAAAGAACCACCCATGAGACAGCATGACAGCACCCTTCTCCTAGGGCCTCAGCTTCTTTCTGTCACTGTTCTGTTCTGGCTCACCAGCTCCTCTGCTTACTCACAGTACCTGCTTTCTCCTAACTGCAGCTTGCTCATGCCCATTTCTGCTGACCTTTCTGTTCAGCAATACAGTGAGTCTCAGCTTCTGAAATGCCAAAAGAGGAATTTTACTCAGCTTATATTTTACAACCAGCCATCCAAGTCATATGTTGGCTGGTCAAACCTATAGAAGGAGCACCTTTGGGTCAGGTACCCATCCCAGACCCAGTTAACTCTGGGGGTCACGATTAGGTGGTATGCAAATCAGTCACGACCCACTAAGCAGAGACTGAAAGCATGCTGGCAATGATCAATCACCCTGGTACACATGCAAACAATTGAAGAGCATGTTCTTCTATCATATTCAAATCGAGAGTGACAGTTTGGTAAGTTCACTCATATCCTGCTCATAGGAGTAACTGAACCAGAGGAGGACTTGAACCAGAGCAATGTGAGTTAGAAAGAGTTATCGGGAGATATTTGGGAAGGGGGTTGACAGCATTTCATAACTGACTAGAGGGAATGGGAGAAGAGTGAGAAGAAGAGAAAGGATGGAGTCAGGGATGATGCCTAGACTTGTTGATGTGCCTATTGGGTAAATCCTGGTAATTAATATTCTCTGAGACAGGGAGCATGAGAGGAAGGTAAGGTTAGTTCTGGGTTATGCTTGGTGGATGGGAAAGATGAGACAGAATGAACTGGACCTGCTTGTAGAATATCCAGATAAAGATTAAAGTTGGAAGTTCAAATCAGAGGTCCGGGCTTGAGGTGCAGGCTCAAAAGCCCACAGAATATGACTGGAACTGAATCCATTTAGCATACAAGGAAAGACATGGGCTAGGACTAAGCCCTGGGAAGTAAC